GAAAAGAGGAGAGGAGAGGAGAATAGAGAGGGAGAGAAGAGAGGAGACTCGAGTGGACTGAGAGCCCTCCTTAACTCAGTGGGCGAGAGTTAGTATTATTATTTATACTGGACCAGTCGTACAACATAAAGACAAGAGAAAATTACAACAGTACCCTTGCGGTACTAAACCTGAGAACATAAACAACTATTAACAGTTACCTTTTGCATAAAAAGAACCATTAAATACTCTTCTTATCTTATTATGATTTATGGAGAAGCTCACCCCTGTGAGTTCTTCTGTGAAGTGCTATGCTATTAGGGCTTCAAATGGATCAAAATGAGTCGGATATAGATAGAACCAAATTTGATTAGATTATATCTGTATTCAAATCGAATCTTATCCATCGGATTTATGTTGAATTCAAATCAAATTTGGATTGCAATCAGATATTGAATAGTATAAATAAATTAAACTAAAAATGTTCAAAATATTATTAATAAAATAAACTGAAAAAGACTTTGATATTAGATTTTGTGAAAAAATTAATTGAAAATTACTTCTATGGAACTTGAACCTATGAAAATTTAGTAAAAAAACAACATTCAAATCAACTTTACTAATAATACAATGTAAATTTCAAGTATATATGAACACATATATTTAAATCGAACCGAATCAGATTACATCGGAGATGGGGGTGGATCCATATTTGATTCATTTATAAACAGACTGAATTCAGATCACCCTTAGTGGGATCAAATTCAGACAATCAGATATCATTCACAGCCTTATATGCTAATGACCTTCCAGTGGCATCAATCCTAGGCACCACCTCAGAAATGGAAAATTGTAATTATTAGAAATTAACTAAGCCTAAAAGGTCCTTGTAGGGATTTACATAAATCAAAAAGTGGTATATGTGATACTGGAGATGGGCAAGATATCCTTCTATCATGCTGGTCTCCATTTCATGTACTTACCTCCAATTTCCTTCTAATTTTATGGGTTATAGATATTTTCTTTTTTGGTCCCACTTTTCTATGCCATATATAACCATAGATTGGTAAATCATCCAAGGAATATATCAAATTAGCTTAATCTTAGGAAAAACTGTTGCATAGAAATAGATTTCACTTCAGAAGAACAGGCTCTAGAAAGTATTTCAAATAAGTATGGTTCAGTAAATTCAAGTGGATATTTCTTAATCTAAGAGGCATCTATAAGAATCATCTTTTACCAATAAAAAAAGATCCCACTTTTGGATAATACTATCATGAAACATGCGCATTTCCCCTGATCAGCATGAAATTGAAAAGCGAACCTACTTGACATACTAAATGGCAATAAGTAAAGAGGATAAGCTTGTTCATCACTGGTCACATATTGCTTGACTTTCACTCCACAGGCATCAGAAATTAAGCACCACTTTCAGGGAAAATATACAAAGTCAATTTTACCTGACTTGTACAGGCAACAAAATTGCTAGTCAGATTCCAAGGAGTTATCTGAAGTTCTCTCTCAATATGTGATGCAGCAGCTAGAGCAATAGCTTCATCTGGGAGCTGGTTCATTGCAGAAGACAGTCCAGTAGGGTGTGTCAACCTACTAATTCCTAAACGTTTGAGCCTGTGAAGACCAGCTAGCATGCTTTCATAGGTGCAAACCTGAGAATAGAAAATGAGTAAGAAGTCACACCACAATAAAAAAAACTCCAAATCTACATGTAAACTGTTGGAGCTTTATTATCCTGGGCCAATTTTACAACATTAGGAATGTAATAGCCACTATAAATTGCACCAAAAGAATGATAAAGCAAGCTATAAAAATAGTCCAAGAAAAAACCCCCCCAATATTTTCAACCACTATACTCAACCTCATAGTAAATATGATACCCGGAGAAGATTTAGAAAGAAGAGGAGAGATTTCCACTTGGTATTTATCGATTTAGAAAAAAGCATATGATATGTTCCCTAGAGAAGTCATCTGTTGTGCACTTTGGGAAAGAAGGGGCTTCAAATAGATATGTTAATATCATAAAAAATATACATTAAGGAACAAAAACTAGTGTGCTAACTCAGAAGGTGATATAGGAGAGTTTCCAATCATAATGGGCTTATATCATGGGCAAGCACTTAGTTTAGAGGTAGTAACAATTGTAGTTCAGTTGAGATTGATGATCAGGAGGAACCCCAAACTAACCACTTCCAATATCTTGGATCAAATAATGAATGATCCATAATGTGTGAGAAATTAGAGGTTAGAACAAGATGGTTAAAGTAGATAGGTGACGTACCACGTGACTGGAATATACCTTGATACTAGAAATATTGCCTTGTAAATTTCTGGAAACCAATTATCCAATCATTCCCTCTATTATCTTGGGTTATCTTTCAAGTGAATGACCAAGTATTTCACTGGTGAGGACTCAAATGCTAGAAAATTCATATATAATGGATTTTGCTAGTAAGAAGTTAGAGACCATCATCCCAATTATTCCTCCGTTTGGATCATTGGCTAAAGAAAAATCTTGTTTTCCAATAAGACATGCAAAATATGGTAGAGTTCTATGGCAATGCACAAGAGGACAGCAATGATGTGGAGTGTTTGGTGTGAAAGAAACTATAGAATTTTTAGCATGAACATAATGAATCAAAATCATAAAAGGGGTGACTCATTGGATTATGACTAGGGACGAGTTCAAATGAAATCTCAATGGATAAGACTTTTTTCACAATAAATGAAAAAATTATTAAAAGATAAGACAAGAAAAGGTAGAAAAATGTGGGCTTTGCAGCCAAAGACAATAAAAAAAATACAAGTAAAACTAGCCCCCCCCCAACGAACAAGAAACCTAAAATAAAGAGTGCTGATCCGCCTTAAATCTCCACAACCACTTCCCAAGGAGATCATATTCCTTTCAGCTATATGACCCCATTCCTAACCTCCTTCAGCCTTAGGCTTGCACACTATGCCCCAGTTCACCAAGTGATCTATTTTCTCTCCTCCCCCATCCCATAGAAAGTCCAACTGGAACTTTTAAATTCAGTTTCTCAGCTTGGCTGAAACTTTGAAGATTAAAAGATAGTAGTAGAAGTTCAGGACTGTTATCAGTCTTGAACCCTAATGGATTTCAGGATTGAAAATAAGAAGAAAGGTAAGAGGGAAAAAGAGGAAAAGGGAGGAGAAGCAGTAGAACACAAGAGTTGAAAGGAGGAGCAGAAGCTTAATGTTCTGC